TTATCCGTGGAGCGCTTCTGTTACCTATAACCACTCATATGTATTTTTCAACAAATGATTGAATGTTCATATTTCTTTTATTATGCTTTTATTGAACTTGCGGTGTGAAATGCGTGAACAGAAGAGAGCTTCCAACTACATAGGCCATTTTTTACGTCTCGTATAGTTCACTCTATGTCTGTTTGGTTACACTATGCATAACAGGTTTGATCTTTTCTTTGATGGTCAGATTCGCCGACTATACAACATCGAGTTGGATAATTCTGTGGTGATTTTCGATGAAGCTCATAATATTGTGAGTTCATAATCGCTGTGCTCAACGTTTTAATCCAAATTAAAACCCTGGTGAACATGTTTTCATTAATTAGTTTTCGAGTCTGTTGTTTAAAGTCAAACTGCTAGGTGTTCGTCCAATTCAAGCATTCCATGTGTACTTCAAGATGTGCAAGATGCGGGTAACAACTCTACAAAAGTGATTAAGCTGATCGATCGTCAATTAATCATTCCATGTGTCGTGCAAAACTGATCTTTGGCCGTTACAGTAACTGAATAATGATAGACACCGCGGTCCACATCGCATTATCTGAGGCTAGTAGGGTCAGCGAGCAAACAAAGACCGAGGTTAGGTGCATGGTTTACGTAATCGTTGTCGCCCACTAAATCAAGCGATGGACTTCCGTGAATTCTGTCGGTCGATGCATGTTTTATGCATGTCATTGCATAGGCTTATTGGACGTGTAATATTTTTGAAAACTGGTGTTCAATGTGCTTTGCAGCACTACTCCTATTATGGTAGTAGTATGATAAGTGAGCTGGCCAATTATCACGATATTCAAAAATGAACGTAATGGAATAGATAAGTGGATTAAATATTGTAGCAACAGAAGATGCGGAAAGATTGGCGAAAGGCTTGATCACCGATCCATTCTTTCAAGGAGCTGGGATTGGACTGTTTCAATTTACGTGTTTTCTTCTGCGTAACCCGAATCACTCAATACTGATGTCGCTATTCCGATAACCAACTCCTCAGTTCGGTACAAAAATTGTAGATTTAAAATGTGGTCAAACTGAGAAATCACTTCAAGGTTTGAAAACCGCGACCAAATGACTCGGTCATTTAAGTCGCTTTAGGCTTTCCGTAAGGATGCCTCGTGATTGATCGAATCCATGATGGTTGGATGTCATAATAGCTGGGGCTCTTGGATTTACCCCATTTACACAAATGTGGTTCAACTGTATTGCGTTCCTTCATCTCTTATTACACTCAAGTTTCTACTTGTTCCATCTACCTCATCGTTGTTCGAATTAGGGGACGACCGAAAGATCTCACCGAAAACCGCAGCACGAAAGCGCTGGGCTCTGGGTTGTGTAAACTAAAAAACTGAACCTTTTGTTGAATTACTATCCCAATTCTCCCTTTTATCTCCGATTTTATCCGTCCACTCAAGTGATTTGTCTCTGTTAACTTAAATTAATCTTAAGCGATTTATTCCCATTTCAGGCCATTGTGGCTTCATTGCTCCTTTAAAATGTTAGAAATATTATTTGGAGTGGCTCATCCAACGTCACCCTGTTTTTTTGCGAGGGTTCACGTTTAGCCTTGAACTAACGAGCAGCAAGTGATATCGGTGGCCTTTTTTGGTGCGCTGATATCCCACACAATGGTTTGCACGGAAATTTGTGGCTTTTTTCTCAGAGGTAGTATTTCAAGCGTATCACCTCTACGCAGATCGTCCGCGACTCCTTACTCAGTGGTTCACCGTCCCTCTTTTCGCGGTTAACCACCCAATCGGATGTTCTACCATCAATATGGGATCGCACTCAGTAGATCACAGCTACAGATGTTAGCTAACCCCTGACCTCGATTGTCACAATCTTTCGTTGTTCCAGTTTGTACTTGAAATATCGCCTATTCTGTGAGTCCTTTGCAGTCTGCTGTGCAGCTTTTAGTTCAGAAAAGGTTTAAAATTATATTCGTTATTGTTTTACCTGGAAAGCCTTTTATGGTACATAGTATCTACACAACGTTTATCAACTGCATAATAGTGTTTATGATTATGAATTTACGGGCTTTAAATATAATTTGAGCGTTGTGGATGGATTACGTAGAAGATACCTAGATATATTGAGACAACTGCTTTTTGAGCGACTAGTCTCTCTCAGTATTACCACTATCACACATCTGTATATATTTTCTCGTCATAGGAACAAGTCTGTGAAGATGCCGCGTCCGTGTCTCTAACATCCAGTCTTCTTGCTTCTGCCATCGAATATGTTCGTACCGTATGCGAGGTCGTTTTTAACTTGACTGCCGATCTGGAAAACTCAGGAGACACGAATCAAAAAGAACCCAACGATATACTGACCACTTTTGATGTTACAAGGGCGGGTGAGGACAAAAGTGAGTAGGCCTAGTTTTAAACTTCTTTGTGTTGAACACCATATCTTTTTTTAATTTCTACTCCAATAAAGTCATAGTTCAGTTCAGTTCAGTTTTTACAACCGTTAAGCCTGCACTTTAGTGCGTCGGTTTTGGCTGCTGTCTTTTGGTGCCACGTCTGGATAAAAGAGCAGAATGAAGATTGGAATGTTGAAAGCAAATTCAAGCGGAAGATGGAGAATTCATATAGAATAGTGATAAGGGTGGATGCACGAAAGCCACTGTTTGCGACACCCAGCCATATCACTTAGTGTCTTCAACCGTTGGTGACCATCATTCCGAAGTCCCCAGCCAGGGATCCTAACGGGGCCTATGTGACCTAGTCTCACGGTTAGGGTTTTTATACCCTCATGCCAGGTCTTAGTTTGACCGCCCATCATCTTTTTCCAAACGCCACCAGCCTTGGCATACATCGCTCGCCGCGACAACCTATCTGGTGATATGCGTAACACATGCCCCAAACAACGTAATCTATGGAGGTCGATCATTTGCTCCAGTCGACGATCGCGAATGCCTAAAACTCTACGCCTAACCTCAGCATTGCTCGTAGTCATAGTTCACTGCCTGTCGTTTATCATCACATTGTTTCATGTTTCCAAATGTAAAACTCCGGTGGGGTAAGTCGTGGCTCAACGAGAGCTACTAGAGCTTATTCTGTTTCGTTTGATAATATAACTGTAAATTGATGTGTGGAGCTCGTTTTCGGTGATTTGCATTCATGTCAATAAATCACTATATATATTCGTCGCAATAACCTTGTTGGCAATAACGGGTGACTTTTGGATAGACAGCTCTGTTAGAGCCAGTCTATTGAAGAAACGATGCTATGACTCAATGTTTTTCTCAGTGGGTTAGATGCTACTAACCGCAACAAACGTGACTTCATCGTCTTTACAGAATACTTCACAATAAGTAGTATGTGAATGTCCGGACAAAATTTCCCTGGAAGCATACGAATGGTTTCGCGGTTCTTGCCGCTCGCCAGGCATGCGTATCCGGTAATCTTTTGTCAGTTCATTCATGAATGAACTGGTCTGATTAACTTTGATCTTCTTTCATCTATTAATTGCCTCAGAAAAAATTGCACACTGCGCGAATCTGTCGGTTATTACAGTCAACAGATAAATACTGCCAACCTAGCGGGACCATATGTGGTTCGCCACTCCAAGTCCCTGGGTTCAGGTTACGGTTTCCACCATCGACCAGCAAGTCTACGTAACTATTGGGTTTAACCCATCTGCTGTTCATCACCCAAATGTGTGTGTAACAAAACAATCCGCGACCACCATTATCTCGTACTTTTCACCTAACCTCGAAATTTCCCGTTTGGTTCAGCAAACTGATTTATTGTGGTATGGACACCGGTGTTGTTACTTCTGCATTTATATTACACCGATAAAAGCCACGTCTTCAAACTTTTCCGCAGAACCGGCTACACAGTGGCACCCGGCAAGCACTATTACCGCAAATCCAAATGCAGGCGAGGTCCCAAATGTATATGACCACATATGTTACACATACCTTCAGATAGATTGCCCCGGATTATAGTGTATGCTCAAAACAGCTACTTGTTAGTAGACAATCATGAACATCCAGTTCATGATATGACGTCTCTAAATGATGGGCTAGGTCATATAAGACACTGGACTCCTGATTGGAGCCACATATCCTGATCGATCGTTGGTTGGAAACCCTTGATCATATGACTGGGTATAGTGAATAGTTTTTATTGTATTCTTGGGTATGGAAAACAGTGGAAACGGTTGAACTTCACATGTACGAAAGTCAGCTGTTCGTTTATGGATACGGGAAACCTAATCCGTAGAAGTTGGAGTAAACAACCACAAAGAGCCCCGACATGATAACTGCATTCGTAAGTGTTCGTAGGTGTTTACCAAACTTCCATTTTCCACTGTGTTTGATTGATCTTTCGATATTCATTTTTTTCTAGCTTTATATGAATGCTGAAAACGTACATTGGAAACTAAATCGTTGGAGTATGTATGGTGTAAGCTAAACTAGGTTATCATTCTTTTTATTTGTTGGTGGGACGTAGCATCACATTCACCTGACTAAGCGTCCTATCGTAGTCTTGGCAATTTTTGCCGCCATGCTCCAGGGCGTAAGTTGCCGCTTTCCGTGATTGGATAGTGGGTATTTGTGATGATGGATATCACCTTATCTATTGTTCATCACATTAAGGTAGGCACTGGAGAAATTTTGGTTTCCTGTTCAAGTCAAGTCAGTGGTAGCTTTATGCACCTGGATAGGCGAATTTTCAGCATTTTACACTATATTTGTTGATACAAATTTACAAAATCATACAAAATGAAACTGAAATTATCCGATAAAAGCTTGAATCTTGTACGTGTGGAAGATGTCGATACAGCTTTCGATAGTTCTCTATGTAATGGGTGCTGAGTATTTGACAGCAAAATCTTCACATGCTTAAAGGTGTCCATGATAGAGTTTGCGAGTAATGGCACTGCATTTAGCGATGGCGCATAAATGCGCTCGTGTAAGATAGCATTGGAGTCCTTGAAGTTGACCAAGACGAAATTGGTGATGAATGAACCCACAAAACGGTGTAATATAATTCTTGGCCTAAAACCCATTTATTACCACTTATTTGTAGGTGTGTGAGAAGAGTTGTTTGTGAGACAGTAATAGGGTTGCTTTTTTCAGCCTAAAGAATGTTTTAAACACTTAATACTACCTGTACCGACATCGCTGTTTTCAAAATTACAACTTACATAAAACATATCACATGGCGCATCGATTTTGCGTTACACTCCGAACGTCGTTCGGATCTGACACTATGAACTGAATACTACACCCGTTTGTCAAATCTTCATTCAGGCTATTAAACAAGGTTTGCTCACTGTTTCTTTACAGTACGATCACTCAATTTGGAAAAACTCCTTCTCCTCAAAGGTTAGTATTTGCGTCTGCTTCGAGTAATTGAATCTCATCTAGGACAGCTTATCGAATTCGAACGACTCATCGATGCACTGGAAGTTTCTGAGACTGGTCTGACAAAAACGAGCGAGTGAGTTCCAATCCAATTAATCCAATTATTTATTTATTTGCAATCTAAATGTACAAAACCCTATCATTACTTATTTATCGTGTTCAGTTAGCTACGTTGAATTCTAATCCTCAGAATTATTATGTCACTGACAAACTCGTTTCAATAAGTCCGCTCAAACACCGTTTCCTGTATTGAGGAAGAAGTCCATTTATCGAAAGCGTCTTATTTGCTGTAGATATTTTACTTGTGCATCTTAGGGATAATCATTCGGAACTGACCTTTTAGGTAGCCTACCTTTGAATGGTTGTTTTCGATCACTGCATCAACTCATGGATTATACCCTAATAACATCAACAAATTTGATGATACGGGTAACGGATGCTCAAATGGTCTGAGTCACTGTCATCTGCGCACTTTGACTCCAAGGTCTTGAGTGCGAACCATGAAACCTGCACACAACTAAGCGGTAAGCGCGCTTTATAGCTACTCGGCTTAATACAACACCCACCATATTGGGGCTTCCTAGTCCGTGGGCTTGGATTATCAATTCCTGTAACTGAACAGTAGATCCTATTAGCCATGAGATTCGCTCTTTCTGTTTCTCACCACAATAGCATGTGATGAAACAATGAAATCACTTATTCAAAAGATTTTCGTCTGCTGGCTAATTATTTATGTTTATCGTACACATTCACGATTTAACGGAACAGCAGAAGGGATGCAGGAATAACATGCTATTCAGTTATTGAAAGCATATATCTATTTCCCTGTGCCAAACTGTACAGTGTCCTCATGGTATTGGTAAGTATTGTCTTGCTCCGGTATGGAATAGAACTGTCTGTTACATATGTGAACCTCAATAACCGGTTTTTGTTGTTAACAGGGTGTGCCGGACCCTGTTGTCACCCCAAAAATGCCTTCATGGGGTGTCTCTCCAAAATCACCTGTCTGCATGTGGTGATTGTTTTCTATCACAGTGAAAATGATCAAAAACCAATGTTGGTGACTATATACAGACGGTGGTGCTCAAGCGTTTAAGGTCACCAACCTATCGCCCTGGACAACATGTGTTCAAATCCCACCGTCTTTGCTTGTTTTCCCCATGTTCTATATATGGCAGTACTTTGATTGGTCGCTTCCCCTCACTGAAACTCTTTTTTATAATTATACATGTGTTGATCAAACTCGTGCAACATCACTCTCATTTAGGAAATACATTTCAGTCTCCAATATCATACCTCTATATTGATGGCTATTTGTGAATTATGTTTATTCCTGGTATTATCTCCTACTTCTATGTGCTCAGTCCTATTCTATCACCGTTTGAATTAGCGTGACCTTGCGATGAAATTTGTGGTTGTTCGAAAGGTACTTCTCATTATCTACAATACTGGCAGAACTAAAAACGTAGTCCAAGAAACATACAAGTTGATCTTCGAAAGTGAACCTTGAGGTGTGCGGCTCTTTGAGTAAGCGTTTTGTTGTGCCACCATACCCAAACCGGTTAAATAAATCAAACGGTTTTGGCATATAATTAAAGCCCAGAGGCAACTTAGTCGAAAGGCACATAAAGCCGATGATTTAGTTGGTGTCTTGTGAAAGTGCTTCGATGCGAACTTAAGTCCAACTTATAACACATTCAAAGAAATTGCTCCATAAAGATATAAACCAAGAGAGAGAAAACCGATCATATCAAAGCAAGGCGATGGTTGTATTTGATCGTAACAGAGAAGAGTTGCACAAAACCGATCCGGAAGATTGTCCGGGCTAATTAACCGTTTTTACCTCACGCTTTAGTTTGAAAAATGATGGCCCAGTTTAACGTACTGCTGAATCCACGTGATATAAAGCCATTATGGAACGCTAGCGCTCAACTTCGTCACTTGGCACAGATAATACACCATAAATATTACTAGCGTCGTCTGACACATGGAGCGTGGAGAATGGGCATGAGGTTGGATCTCAAAGATGCAGACTGATAACTGAAGTAGGGTTTTATATGCCTGTTTGGGAGACAACATACGTCCAAATTGAAAGTTTGAAGGGCCCTAGTTGAGGGGGCTTGTTGATCGATCTGATGCACTGTGCGGACATTAGATGCGATCAAGTGAAAAGGATGTTTCGTTCTCATCTGTCCTATAGCTTCAGACTAATTTACTTTACTGATCAAACGCTGACCGATATCCCGTGAGTAATGGAAACAGGTCTGACCCACAAGGCAGATCCAGCGTGGGAGAGTAATCAAAGCACCTGTGTGGGAGCTCCTTCAAAGCGATGAGTTCATGCGCTTGGATTTCGGTCTAGTGTTTTGCTCATTGGTGCATTGATTGCCGGTCTACCTTTTGGCAGCGGCTTTTTTCCCATGCACCCAGTGAGGCGGTCGGAACGTGGACGGGACGGAACTTATTGACTGTGAGCTGTCCAGGTTTGGTCTGCAACGGCTGTCCACTGTTGGGAGGAAGTCTCAGGTAGTATATGATATTGACAAGTATTGTTTAGGTTTGGCGATCTGCTTCCAAATCAACGGTAGGCTTTTTATGTGTATCCAAGGAGTCATCTTACTATGCATGCTGTTTTCTGCATGAGTAATGTGCTTCGAAAAATTTGCCCACTGGACCACGATCGTCGTTTTTTTGTGAATAATGTTTTAGATAAGCCCCACAGTGTCCGTTTTTTGAACGTGTAAAACCCGGAGTGTGATAGATATTTATTTCTGTAGATATAAGGTGGTTTATCGGTTCCAGGTTCACGGCCAAGTGAGAGTTATCTTATTTCATCTACTTTATCCACTCCCAAAACTGTTTCAATATTCCATCACTTGAATAGGCGGTGTCTCTCTCCCAATGTCCGTTCATTCTTGCGACAGTTTCCTGGTGGAGTTACTTGGGCGGGCTGGAATCACCAGCAACACAAAGGAACACGTGTTGGAATCAATCGAGGAAATTCTGTCTGCGTCCAGTTCGGCTGAGAGTGAGTCATTTCAGTCATGGATATGATATTTTCTATCAACAGGTAATGCAACTGAAGAAAGTTGCTCGGAATGTTCTCTGTTCCAACTGAGTTTGAAATAAATCTCGAGTGCCTCTATACGTAATATGTACCGGATATCTGGAACCTTTTTCTTCCAGTCGGTGTGTTTCTGTCATTTTACTGATCTGCAATAAAGACCATAGTGCTCCGTTGAAAACTACGAAGGAATTATTTGAATTCATCTCTAAAATTCTCGTTGACATTATTCCTCATCGATTGTCTGCTGCATGTAAACGTTGCTTGCGTTTGAAATCAGGCCGGTCTCAGACCTGGTTGAGGTTGGCTCTACCAGACATTCTGTCTTCGGCAACTTCCTTTAATATACCCGTCATTTCTATATTTTTCGATCTGGAGGTGGCTTTCGACGCAGTCGGCCGCTCCAGTCTTTGGTGCTGCCCCTAATTTAATGATGGGCCTGAAGAGTTTATTTCAGTATTGCGCTCCTCATTTAATGGCGGAGGTCAAATTTGAGGTTACGGCACTTCTTTGCTGGAGTTGACTACAGAAAGCAGTGTTCGTCTGGGTGGATGACTACTGCCTCAGTTGTTGCTAAATGTTTTTGACGAATAGTCTTAGATGTATAAGGAGGCACCTGGCAGATCACCTTGAAGGCATCTTCTCTCACAGTATGTCTCGTACTTGCGAGACGTTCCACAATGGCACTTGAGATGGTTTTTCTGTCCCCATTAGTAATCCTTGATCCTCTTGGAAAATCGCTTAATGGTTCTACCTATGTAGCTTACCAAACATGAACAAACAAATGAGGTAATCATAGAAAAGGTAGAGATAGACAATTTATCTTTAAGGTTCATGGAAATAATCCGCTCATTGGTGAACCTAAGGTTTAAACGTGCCCCCGGAAGTGTGCGTGTGATGGCTTTTTTCAGAACCTTAGTGACTAGTGTCTTCACGTTGACTGTTCTCAACAATCCAATCTTCATTCCGCTCCTGTATCCGAATGAGGAGCCAAAAGACAGCTTCCAAAACCGGCGTTTGAAGGGGCATGGTTAATGGTTGTAAAAACTGAAAACTGATGTCGGCAAATAGATTGCCAGAGTGTGCTATTTTTTCCAGGTAGGCAACGGATGGAAAAAGTTCATAGTTGTCAAACTAAGCTAGTGGCGGTCAAATCGTGAGATCATCAGAATAACGACTTGGATGTCCATCGTTCAGCTGTATCTGTATCTTCTCAGCCAGTCTTTTTATGGGTACAGTCTTCTCTTGAAAGTCGACTTTTTGTTTGTATACTCAATAAATAGAATTGAATCAAAAATGCTTGCTTATTTGATTACCTGGCTTGAGAGTATGGGAACCCTGACCAGGAGACGGGGTCATATAGATCCTATTATTCTTCATTATTGACGACTTCAGGATCAGTATACTGGCTGGTTAGAGACACTGAATGGCTGGATGTCATTATCTGTGGCGCTCTTACATCGACTATATATCTTTTAGAACGTTAGTCTTACCTTAGTCTTTGATACTGATTTCAACATTCCAATATTCCCTCGACTGCTTTCTTTTTATTGCACACTTCCGTGTGAGGAATAACAGACGGGGTAAACCCCATAGTCACGAGGAACTGCTGTTCAGTGATAGAAACCGGTAATCTAAGCCCTGGGACTTGGAGTGGTGAACCACATAAGGTCCCGATAGGTTAGGCGTGGTATTAAACCGGACGACAGCAAAGCTGCCTATCACCAAAGTCGAGTGACGGTGGCGGGGCTCGAACCTCGGACCATAGGGTCCAAAGCTCGCCTGTGACAGCGACTAAACCACTGCACCACCACCAAATGTGCAACCAAGGAACAGTAAGTATAAGCGCCGCACGAAAAAGCCCGGTCAGCGATTCCAAAAATGAAACTGAACATACATATGGAACATTTCCCTCTTTCCTAGTTCGGTTTCACCTTTAGGAATTATAGGTTGCAGTGATTCTTGCTCAGCATTCGGTCGTACGCAGCTTTGCTATCGTCCGGTTCACCTAACCTAGTAGGGCCTTATGTGGTTTACCACTCCAACTCCAGGGATTTAGGTTACCGGTTTCCATGACGGAGCAGCAGGTTTTCGTGGCTATAGGGTTCGCCCTATCTGCTGTTCACCACACAAAAAATGTGTGAAATGAAACTATTTGGAACGATTGGATTTCATGCGATGAATTCCGTTAGTAAATACCTTCGAATTATTTAATGGTTTGAAACGAGAAGCCAGTATACCAATATTGTACGATTTATGTCCTGGACGATTTCGCTGCATCTCAACTGGTGCCTACTGCAGACAATGTTTATATAGGGTTTGGGAATGGATTACAAAATAAACTTTTAAATGTGAGGAAGCGTCACCAAGACAACCGCCAGTGGGCCGAGTCTGGGTGTGGGCTGGAGCTGTCGATAGACAGGATGTTCTCCGTGACAA